AGAGGTCATACTGCCTCCATCATCAGGGCGATTCATCATCGCCCTGATGACGGAGGCAGTATGACCTCTGAAACGTTGGTTAACATTGACCAGACTATACAGCGCAACAATCCAGAAGACAGAAATCTTCAGCACAATTTATGCTAACATTGGTCTTTAGGTAACCCCAGAAGGGCAGTTATATTAGAAGACTTTGCTGGTTATGCTGTGTCTCCAAATTTCAAAACCAAAGGACTTGGAAACATTCTTCTTCGAAAACTTATAGTTCTTTGTTTTTAAAAATTACATTCAGCGAGTCAATGAGAAATATCCAACCCCTATGGCCGACCCTTCATTACAATGTTTGCATTGTTATAAGTAGCCATGCTGAACAAAAGAATGCTGACATAGTCTGTTTATATGTCAATCATGATCTTATAACTGATATTCTTCGTGATTCTGAAATATGTACGAGTAAACGAACTTTACCTGTAAAACACCATACATAATAGACAGCACTTGGGCAGGTACATGACCCTTCCAGAGGGCTGGTACCCCCTCCTCCTTCACAATGCGTCGAGCTGCCTGAGTTACACTCCAGTATTTTGCATCCTTGCACGTGTGATTAAGAGGTTCAACCTGAAGCTATGAGAATGTATGACTATTACATCAAAACAAGGAAAATACTGATTTCAACACAAATAAATACAGAATATACAGCAATAATACATAAAATCTTGGAAAAAGTGCCACAGTTGAAACAACTGAAAATGACTGGCATATAAGAAATTATATAAATGGTAAAACTAAGAGTAGATAACTCAACAACCCAGAAGACAGACATCTTCAGACTCACTGTTGTAAAAACCTTAAATCACAGTTTATATTTTATCTTTTCAAGAAAAAATATATAAATTTATAATTTTACCTTTTTTATTACATATGTACAAGACATGATCTCCCAGTCTGAAGGAAGAAAAAAACCTGGGGGCATTTATACTCAACAGAGATGAATTTAAGCAGGGAAACAAAAATTTATATAATACAAGTTTCATAATTTTTGTACTCTTCACCTACCATCGTTTAGTAGGTGATATAATTGGGCTTGAGCTGGAAAGAAAATTCATAATGCATGAGGAAAATCATAAATGTATAAATAATTTTATACTGGACACAGATCACAATGAGGACCAAGATATATATTGAAGAATAATGTCAAAATCAATTTGAAAGATATACTTTGTGAGGATGTGAACTCAACTAATGTCCTTCACTGGACCAGGCTAGTTCCTTCTAAGGAGCCCCACAGGGTAAGAAGCCCTTGACCCTCTTATTTTACTTGATGAAAGACACAGATTCAGTCCCTGAAACATCGTGTTATGAGAAACAACATATGATGGATGTCAAAAATTGTAACCAAAACTATTGCAAAACACCATCGTCAATATCCTTCAAATTGATCCTATACATCTAGGCTAGTGACAATATCCTAAAACAAACTGTAAAGAATGCAACCTGAAAAGAATAACCTAACCTTCTGTTCACAGCAACAACTGTTAAACCAAATCATAATTTCTGAGAAAGTTCGGATTTACCTGGAATCTGATCTTGATAACATCAAGAGGCTGGCAAAGAAATCGTGTAAGAGCACTGCTAATTCCTCCTGCAGTCCCATGTTCTACTGTGCTTAGTTTCTTCTTCGCTTCTGGGTCAAATCCAACCATAATATACCACCCTATAAATAAATCATGAAAAGGAAGAATATTTTAAATTAATGGTCGCTTACAGAAATATCAGTATGCTGTAAGCAACAGAATTTGCATACACTGCAATCAACAGACATGCCTGTAAATGATATAAGGTGTTAATAGAAAAGACCATTATTCATTTTAAAATAAACTTGCCAGGACTTGTCGACCTCAAAATTAAAAACTCCTTTTCTGTAGTTCGAAATTAACTATATGAAACGACATTCACGCCTGCACTTCGTGTTGAAGGTCCGCAAAAATTGTTATACATCGCACCACCATAACCTAGTATATATTCAAACCACAGATAATACCTATTCCAATCAGCATCATCTTGGGACTGCGAGAAATTGAGTGGTGTTGGCAGAACTGAAAATATCACCAACGTCTACACGTAAAATTTAATTATATCATTCACAGCGCCCATAAAATATTAGAAATTGCGAGACCTGTGTCAAAATGGTCAGTTTTATAGGAGCAAAATAACATACAGCTAGTTTTTTTCTTAATGAACCTGAAGGAAAACATTCCACGACTCATATACTGATTCCAATTAAAAATATGCCCCCCCACCCCACCTCAAATCCTGAAACTGTAAAACATGCCTTGTTAACGACGTCAGTATTTGGCAGTACCTCTAACTTTGCGCAAACGACGAGCATTAGATCAAAAAATGGGGCGCGTCTTACTGATGAACACGCGGAAGGAGGCATACGAATGGCGACAACAGTAATTTAACGTGATACTGGCGGGTTAAGGAAACAAACGCAGTGTCAAATATACCTCAACAGCGTTGATCACTCAGCCACATCCAGTTCCGAGGTTAAGATTGAGAAGGAGCCTTCCCACCTCTCCCCACCAAGTGCCTACATTAGCGTATAGCTGAGCAGCTTTGGAGTCGGTAAGAAAGAGGAATGTGGCCCCGGTATTGAAAAGGTTGATAAGCCCTACTACGGACACAGACTAGTTCATATGCGAGAAAACATATGCATAAACTTCGACAGGCATGCCACCTTGTCGAGTGCAATGAACCTGGTTGGCTATACTATATAGCCGACGTATCATGTCTGCTGACATTTTGTTTGAAATATTTAACAATTTATAACTCTTTGCGTCCTGTAACATGAAATTAATAACTATATCAACAAAGCGAGTCCTTAGAATGTAAGATTTGAGGTTTTCACGGCAGTGAGTCTGAAGATGGCTGTAACACATCGCTCTGATAATGGAGACAGTAAAGCTTCCTTCCACTTCCTTTCCAAAAAAAAAATATTATTCACGAAATATCCTATCATTCAGCGTAATATAAAGTGTGTAAAGGAAAACACCATTAACCATTTAAAGCTCAGCGGTAACTATGTGCACCACGCTTTAAAAGACCTATAACTCTGCATTTTGTCCACAGAGTGTATTTACGGGTTACTACGATTCTTAGAGTAAACATAGATTGTTTATGAAAATTGAATTATGTAACTGATATTTATAATGGATACGTTTCGTGTTTTCTTTGTCGTAAGAACTGAATGTTGTTATTTAGACGAGATCTTCTGCTTTAAAATGCTAAATAAACTAGGAAGAAATTAAATATAGAAAAAATAAAACACTTCAGGCAGAGGTCGTACATGTTCCTTGTCATTTCCTGGTATATGTTGTAATAAGTAATTAAAAAGTTATTGTGATAAAGCATCTCCTTGTGATGGCCATTAAATAATTCTAGCCTTTCCTGAAACTCTTCTACTTTCTTGCTGGCATAATTTAGAGTAAAATTGAAACAAAGTATGGCAGATGCATCATCTTCTCTGGCTGCACACAATACATAGCACTACGCGATGTAGAACTGGATCTTTGCAACCGAATAGAAACAAATAGTAACGAACTCGGTGGCAGGTTCGCGTGGCTTTGGCTTCCAGGTCACTTGCAGACTGCAACGGGACCTCACGACACGTAAGTACAGAGCGGGAAGAGTCAAATTAACAGTGCAGATACACGACAGATGAGATAACTACTGATACGTAGTAAAGTAGTCTGAAAAAAAACAACATAAATGGTAATCATCGGGAAATTTTGTGTGCATGGTACAGAGACTTTCTTGAGCGACTGATAGTGTCTCATCTGGTCGAAAACCGTCCTGTTATGGTGTCATGTTCATCTTAACTCAACTGAATCAAAACCAAAACTTCACACATAGTTTCTCTAAAACTCATTTTAATATTATACTTCCATCTACGCCAGGTTTTCCAAGTGGTTTCTTTCTTTGATGCTTTCCATATGTGCTATACACATTACTTGATTCGGAATGTGTGCTACATAAGTCGCCCATCTCACATTCATAGTTGTTGAAGAGTGCAAATTGTGTTTTGTCTCCATTCTCGTGTGACTTCTTCTGCGCAAGGTCAAAACATTTTTCTATGCTCTCGGCACATGGACAATTTTGTTGTTTCAGTGACGGAAGTGACTGGGAAGTAATGTGGCAACAGACATATTTTCAAGAACATTCAAATGGTCTGAACAAATTAATATACAGGCATTCAAACTGACGCCGAATTGTTTCATTTCAGCCATTGTTTACCCCAAAGAAAACACGTCTCTCTATTAGAAATATCTGTTGGTTAAAGTTATTAAGCAAATAATCACTGTGAACAAAATACAGATTTAGTGATGTTTCAGTAGGTAGTGCAAGTTACCACCTTGTTTTAAAGTGTTAAGCAACTAAACCCTTACGCAACGTAGCATTCATAAGCTGTAACGTGTAGTGACTTGCATTATGCGATCGATATCTGATTCGAGTTTCGTCCAGTGAACTACCGCTATTCGTTGTAGCTCCCAGTCTCTGCACACATACCGAACATTCAACAATCGAACTTTCACACTCGAACTCGAACATTCACACTCGAACTCGAACATTCAAAATGGAATCCCTCTAAACAGACATGGCTTACATTTAAAGATATAATAGGCAAAATGATTCTGTGCGTCTATTAGACGTACTGATTAGCTTTGATAACAGATTTAAGGGGTGGGGGGAACTGGGCAGTAAAGTGTATCTAATTTTGATTATTTTTGACAACAGTGGATTTGTATCTGCAAATAAAATATAATAGTGCAAGGAGTTATGTGGAGAATTTGCGTGCGCAGGAATAGTGCATAGGCCTACTTTCAGGCATATAAAAATAAATATTAAGATAAATAAATAAATAAATAAGTATATATATATACATACAGAGAACATAGATTTCGCGTTGTCGACATGTTATTTTTTTACATTTTACAAACATATCCTTCAGTAAAATTTCACATTCTTTGAAAATCTTATCACCGGCACAAAACTATCGAGTCTTAGGCCTACGTTCAATAGATCTAATGTTGCTTTCACCTCAGGCTTTCGCACAGCCACCATGTTTGTGCTATCAATGTTTAGAAAAAACGACGATGGAGTGACATCCAATGCCATGACATTTAATGAAAATTTTCAACACCCAAATGGAATGTACCCTTTCAATTTCAACGATAAAATTCTCATTTCGTTTCATATCAGTAATGCTAATGGTCTCTACTGAACCTGTTGGTCAAACAGAATGAAGACAGTGGTGCTCCTGGCGGTGACTTGTCAACTTGCCCTCATGGCACCCCGGAATATTCCTCATGTGCCCGATGTCGTATTCCCTCCGGTCCCGGAAGACGGTAAGCAATGAACTTCTCAAGCATGATTTGAAATAAAGCTATAGTATAGCATATGCATTAGCACAAGGCTATTAAAACATAAGGCGAATGGAGGTAAAGCTCCGCGTATTCTTAATCTCGACACTGGATGAGATTATTGAAGCCAGAAAGTGATTCATTAATCTTTGTTTTATCCGAAGTACGACTCAGTTCGACCGGGTGATAATGAAATTAAACCGTGAAGCCAGAAGCTAATTCACTACTAACATTTGTCTTGTCCGCAGCACGCCTGAGTTCAGACCAACTGAGGGTTCTGTCGGAGACGAATCAGGACCCCGAGGTGCAACCCGGACTGTTCCAGGGCGATATGGCACTCACAAACGACATGTACGACTTGTGGAGAGTTGGCCTTCGGTGGGATGTGGCGCCGGAGAGAAAATGGCGGAACAACACCGTGCATTACGTCATCAGTCCACTATACGGTGAGTTAAAGTCATTTTTGTCTGTCCAGTGGTTGCTGGGCTCTTCCCCCTTGGTGAGGAGGCTTCATCTAGTGCCGAGGTAAAGGATTAAAAAATGCGTGGAGCTATATTTCCACTCCCGCATTCGTCTCCATGGCACGAGGATAACTTAATTGGTTAAAGAATCGGCTGGTTGACCGAGGTTCATGGAGTTTTTATAGCCCGTCCCAACGGCAGGCCTCTTGGATTTTGAAACGGATCACGCCTGTCTCCTTCCCAATTCTTTCAAGTTCATCGCACATAATTATACTCTTACGCCACGCTACATAATCACTGTACATGATACATCGTCGTTAAACAACCCGCCAGCCAACCAAATTTTCGAAATATGTTCTTTGGGATTCTAATATTTCATTAGCCTTGATGACTATTTATTGCAGACGTTGAAACCCTCTGCTACAAAATTAATCAACCTCCACGTATCAATCACGTACAGTCCGAAAGTATTTTTCTTTCTATTTTCTTAATTTGTCACCGTGTCAAGAAATGTTTCTAACAGATTATCTTAAATAGATCCACAACGTTCACGTTCTTAGTATGATAAACTATTTTAAAAAAAGAAGTTTGATTTTGTGTTTCACACAGAGTAAGATTATATTAGATCGATAAGAACAACAATAAAATTTTCTCTATAAGGTTTAGTGTTGACTCCAATTCTAAATTTAATCTAAATCCGTTCAGTAGGACTGCAGCTACAACGAACAGATAAGACTGACACAAAACAGCCTCACGTTATCTTGCTTCATTTTGCTTCAATTAAATGAACGCGGGTCTTTCTCTCAGAAAGCGTTTCATTTGGAGAAAAGTAGATAAATGTACGAAAGTTATAAAAGAAAGAGAGAAAGAAAGAAAGGAGGCAGAGGAATGAATAAAATAAATAAATCGTCCTCTCTTGGCTTTAAACTGTTCTTTTATAAGAGGTCCGGAGATAGGGATTAGCTCTATCTAGTCGGCCCAACTGTGTAGGAACCTGAAGACGGAGATAGAGTCCCATCTCCGAAACGTCGTTTTACGTTTTATATTTTACTAGACGATGGATAATATCAAAGGAAATTTTTATTCGAATGACCTATTTACAAATTAGCTGAAAGAGTAACATCAAGAAACATCTGGACCATTACAACGAAATTGGACAGGACATATTGATCACTACTGACTGTCAGACATAACTGCACAATTTTACTTCAATTTTTTTGTTTCACAGATACGTCAGATTACGTCACGATCTATAAAGCCATCTTGACGCTCAACTTCCTGACTTGCATAAAGTTCGTACCGTGGGATGGCAAAGCTAAGGACTTCTTGCTCATCTGGCCAATTAAATACCCTCAAGGGTAAGGTTAACGCACGCTGCCTTCAATTACAACTTCCGACAAAACGAAGAAAAAATAATTAATTCGACTCTTCGAAATTCTTTCATATCTACAGAAAAACTAACATAAATTATAAAGAATTGTAAAAAAACAATTATACTGAAACGAGGACCTGTGATCTGTATTTGTCAAAAAGCTTTTTTGTGTTTCCCATACACAAAAGTGTTCGAACACACCCTTCATATTTCGCGTTGCCGCCATGTTTGCCAAAATCGATATAGGATTTAAGGTTTTTATGGTTGTAAGCCAACTTCATGGTTTATTCAACGACGCCGTTAGTAGCTCAAATTATATAGCACGGAATGATAAGATGATTAGTGTAAAGGAGCGTACATAGTCTAATTTAAAGTATTATCCCGAAATTTTTCTGGAAAGACTGAGGAACGCCACAAAATTCTCAGTCAGAGTCTGTCTTTGGGTCAGTATTCGAATTAAATACCTCCTGAATACGCAATAGGAATGCTAACCACTCGGTTGCGACCTTTGGTGCGATTAACATGGCCCAGGATAGGGTCTGGCAGCGAGATGTTAAGAACAAGGTTATTGCTTGATTATATGAGCAACTACTAGCTTCTCCAGAGATACTATGCATCATGGGGTTAGTTTCTAGACCTTTCCAGTGCCGCGTTACGCTAGATGCTGCATGAACTCAATGTTATTCGTGCAGGTGCTGGTCGTATGTGGGCCGATTTGGAGGCCCTCAGATCCTGTCGCTGCAACCACCGAACGCGATGAGCGCCAACTGTCTCGGCGGGGAGGGCCGTTCCATCCACGAACTGCTTCATGCACTGGGCATCTTCCACGAGCAGTCCAGGGCAGACAGGGACCAGTTCGTGGACATACACCCTGAGAATATCATATCAGGTAAGTTCTGCTGGTAGCACAACCCGAAGGTTCAACATTACAGCCCATTGGTGAATAATTTTCCATCCACCCCACAACCTACGATTCATTTGAATGTTTTTCTTCCATTTTGTTTTCGGTGTTCAGAGCGGGTGGTATCTGAAGGAAGTATCTTAAACTACATTTCAATGACTCATCTGAAAAATTTTTGTTACTCACTTTTGCAACAGTGCGGTAATAAATATGTGTACCAATTCCATGGAGCAGAGCCCTTTTTGAGAAGTTGACAGTCAAGAAATCGAAAGGAGATCCAAATGAAATTGTACAAAGTTATGGTTGTGTCAGCATTATTTTCGGGCAAACAAACGTAAACAATGACGTACAGAGGGCCCAGATGAAATTTCTGTAATCTGAGACGGGTTCTCTTCCTTGGATAAAAAAAGGTAAGTGCGAATATATGGAAATTTATAACTGAAATTACAAAACACTTTAAAAATCAATACTTCTTAAATACACTACGAATGGATCCACACTACTTACCGACAACCATAAGAATGCCCCCTAGAGGAATAACTCAATTGGTAGACCAAGAAACAGATGATAAGAGATGATACCGGAACAGGTAGGCCTATAAATATCATTCTTGGTCTTTGCTGTTTATGATAATTAAGATGATAAAATCAAGGATGATAAGATGGGAGGGTCATGTAGCATGAGAAATGCGTGAAAATAAAAGACAAATTGAAGGAAGGAAGGAAACCATTTACGAGATCTATAAGTAGGATGAAGGATAATATTCAAATGAATCTTAAGGAAAGGTTGTGGGCAGGATTTAACTGGTTCAGGATACGGGACAGTGACGAGATCTTGTGAACACGGCCATGAGCATTCGGGTGCCATAGACTGGGGGAATTATCACCTGAGCGACTTGGTTTCTCGAGGACAATGGCTGATTTTATCATTTCTGTTTTCAGAGTTCCGAGTAAACTTCAACAAAGAGAGTCTGGAAAACACTACATACAGCTTTGAGTACGACTATGAGAGCATAATGCACTACGGGCAATTCTACTTCAGGTCAGACACTTAAATGTCTCACAAACTTCCTACTTACTTCTTCCATATACGCCACATGGGGACGATCATGTCTGTCTCCCCGCATGTTTCAACCCTAAAACCGCCGGTTGATGGCATTTGTTATGCGTTACACCGCTGGAGGCCATCTCAAACTCAAAATATTTAATTTACTACAAAATGGCCATGACACGAACTTGTGAACTGACAGCGACACAGCGCCACGTAATATGGTGTCCTGCCATGTTTGAAAGTAGTTTGTCTAAGGTACTGAACGTTCTGTTTCATGAATAATTTGCAAGAAAAATTTATATTACGTTAATATACTAAAAAAATAGTTTTATTTCACGTATTGAATAGTATGGAAAAGTAAAGTCTATTCCATCCTCTTGACATAAACCACACCAAGATCTGTATTTTTGAAATATAATTTCGATGCAGTGATTAACGAAACACAAGAAAGCATTTCATTGCAATGTTCAATGTAATGTCTGATTTGAAAATTAACACCAAGGTCAATGAGACACGGAAAACATAAAATATAGCACTGTAGCCATACGCGTACTCGATGAATCCCTATTCTGTTCCAGCAAGGGCAAAGGTCAACCCACTATCACCCCAAAGAAGAAAGGTGTGAAGCTGGGACAAAGAACGGCAATGAGTCACACGGACTGTCTCAAGATTAATGACCTATACGGATGTCTGGACAAGTCCATGTACCATAGGAGGAAATACTACACACTGTGCAAATTCATGGGGCTCTGACTGTCTCGGGGTATTAAAGATGATCAGGTTCACAAGACTATTTCCTTGTTTCATCAGCTCTTCCACGACACCAGTCTGAACGACCAGCGTTCGATTCCCAACAGCAATAATTTTCTTTGACAGCGACACTGGGGTCCACCCAGTTACCTATCCAGTGACTGCCGACGGTAAAACAGCCGGGGCGTGAAGCCAACCACCCACCTCCATCTAGCACCTAGGTTAAAAATTATTGGGTTTGTAATTCAATTCCTCAGCCGTCTTCATGTTGCTGTACTCAATTAGAGGAATAAAATATTTATTTATTTTTTTTGTAGCTTAAATGCGTCATGTTTGTGTTTGATTTAATATATATATATATATATATATATATATATATTTATTTTTTCACAGAACGACATGTTTCGACGGATAATACCGTCGTCTTCAGGTTTTTTATCAATTTTACAATATTTTAAAATTATTAGATATTTAATGCAATGTATTATGATGATCTACGGTTTGTTCTGTAGTTTTCCATTTTCATGGTGAGTTGTTTGTTTGTAGTCAGACGTTTTTATTTTATCAAGGGTGTTGTGCTGAGTAACGTGCGTCTGATAGCTGGTGAAGATGATCTGTAACTGGTCGAAACATGTCGTTTTTAAAATAAAAAGCGCTAAATATAATATTTTATACAACATAATGTTTTAATATTATATAATTCTAACAACATCAAATAAACTTCAACGTTTGTGTATGGACTGTGAAAAAATAAATATATATATTAAAATATTTATTATTATTATTATACGTGTACATACAAGTTTTGCTGGAAAACTTCACCAAAAGAAACGACTTATGGGACCTGGAAGTAGATGGTGGCCTGGATTTATCTGACTCAGGACAGGCGGGCTCTTGTGAAAATGCTAACGAACATTTGAATTCCATAAACAACAGGGTATTTCTTGATTGGCTGAGCAACTATCAGATTCTCAAGAAATATGCTATTTCAAGTACAATGCTTACAAAATCTCAAAATCACATGAAAGGTTGACCATGAATTCCAAGTGCGTATGAATTTGTAAAGATTGGATCGTGGTCTATTTCAACGTGGTGCCTCCGGAGAAATTAAGATAAACCGCGGAACATATCTGTCACGATAACCAGTAACCTGGCAGAAATCTTAACCCATTACCTTCGGAATACATGTACAGCAACTTGTTCAACATTACATTTCGGTGCCTTTGTAACGTCATCAAGGCTTGGTCACGTTGGACTTCCTTAAATTGAAAACACAAACAGTGTCTGAATGTGGACCGCGAACCCAATAATCTTCAGCTACAAATAACATCCAACACGTTCTCACAGAGACGCGTCTCCCCGCCCTACTTTTTCGCTTGTTTAAGGGCACATAAGGTCAAACCGGTTCAGACAATGGAATGTGAAAGCATGCCACCTACAAGAGCCAGTTACTGGTCCATAACCTGCCTGACCCATTTAAATTCAGTCCACACCCTTATACCCAATTTGTTTCAGACTGTCTCGCCTCATTCATTTGATTATCCTATAAAAAGTTGAACGTACAAATTATGAAGCTCATGGTTGTGCAGTTTTTTCCGTCCTGGGGTCCACAAATCTGAGCCCTCCGTTAAAAAAAATCATAATTTCATTATCATATTAGAAATGATGACGCTGAACACATTGTCTAAACCGATGAAGATACATTCTACAGAATTAAAGAAGTGATATCGAAGGCATCAAGCCAGAAGAGCGTATCAACAAAATGGAAGATTTACAAGAGACTTATATGGTTTGTCAATGCGTGTTTTTGGAGTTCATAAGCCCAAAATGTAACCGTCTGCATCACGCCCTTTTGCCATAACATAAATCTCACTATTTTGTATTCTTAGGCTAAATGTCTCCGATTATACAAATATGTTGATACACACTTCCGGAACGATGCCATCGATTTCGACAACTGTATAAAAAAAAATTGACCATATAAAACGAGGAATGGATTTCTAGAGGTTTAAAACGTAGCAGACGCAGGAAATGATGTGGAACAAGTAACTTAAGCGAGAAACGTTTAAGAATTAAGAAATCCGCACATATTTATCCGTGAAGCCAATGCCACTAAACATTTTTAAATTTCTTTTACTTTCCATAGCATTACAGGATTTTCTATGGTTTCGAATTTCCTCACTAAATGCCCGCTGTTACCAACTTCATCTAAACCGGTCAATGATTTTAAACAAACGGTTCTCAAAACTGTCGCGCTGGGATACAAATGAGCGAAACACTGTCAAGAGAAAAACACACGTTACACAGTAAACAGCTCGGGCTACTTCAACAAATGTAAGCTGTTTTCCTTGCACTCGTAAAATTTAGCAAACGTACAAATGTAAACGGTAGTCCCGGAATTGTGTTTGTATTATAGCAAACAGACCGGACCACTGTAACATCAGTCATTTGGCTGGCTGATCTCCAAGGGTCGAGATACTGATCGCCGACTGTAGAGGGAACTCCCACCTGCAGACATCTCGAGTTTATTAAAGCCTAGACCCCACAGTGGTTCAACAGGTTCTGCACGGTAAGTTGTTTGTTTTGTGACGCTCTATACGGGTGTAACACTTGGTTTCTTGTCTTAAGGGAAAAACATAGATTCAGAGTGTCTGGACTTAAGTCACTTGAAAAAACAAAAGAACCTAACGAGCTCAATTTTTTTTTGTAATTCTGTTATTTCACAATGGCATGCACGATAATTTTATAGGATATTATCCATTGTCTGGATTTAGTAATTCTGTTACTTCACAATGGCATGCACGATAATTTGATAGGATATTATCCATTGTCTGGATTTAAAATTTAAAAACGTTAATTTTGTCAGTATTTTAATAATATCAGACCAAAGAATCATGATAGTTCATAATCTGTACTATTCGCCATATTTTTTAAAGTTATCAGGTCAAGAAGGATAAAATAGGAGGGGCGCGTAGAACGAAATGTGTGCAACATTTTTGTCCCAAAATCGGAATTGGAAAGCCCACTTGGGAGATCTAGAAACAGATGGAAAGATTATGATAACATTAATTTTAGGACTTAAAACTACACTCATCTGGTTCAGGACAGACTCAATTGTGGCAACGAACATTTCAGTTTTGAGATTCCTTGATAAGGTAAGCGATAAATCTTTCAAGGACTCTGTTCTTCCCATCGACGAAGAGACCTCCTAGTTTCACACTAACATAAAAACAATAGACAAAGTTACAGTTTTCAGTATTTTCATCTTTAGATGGGAAGAGAAATGAGTCTGAACTGAACGATAGTGACCGTTCCCCGGCGTCTTCTTCGTGAGTGTAATTTTAATTTATTGCCCTCGGACGTGAAGACAGTGGACGACAATCCTCCGCCCTACGGAGGGAGCAGTGCCTTCGCTGCTCGTGGGAGAAGTACGAGAGATTTAAAAATCAGGACGGTCTGATATTTCAGAGCGGCAATGGAGAAAATCATTACAGTGCTTCTGACTGTGATGATGGCAGGCAGTGCACGAAACATTCCCTATGTCCCAGCAGTTCTTCACCCGCCTGTTCCTGAAGAGGGTAAGTAGCAGGAAACTGCTGAAGAAATGTGTCCACAACGCACAATAAACAAAATACTTTACCATTACAAAGATCAGTTTGTTACAGAAATAATCCCAGGTGGTAGATATATTTCCCATTGGGTTCTAAGGGGTTCATGTAGACCAATGGGTAGTATCTATATATTCAGTACATGTATAAAATCTGTACTAATTTCCCAAACTCCATGGTAATGAATCGTCCTTTATCGGCTGATGGTCACTAGCTGGTCAAGAAATTCCTGCCTATTATGGTACCCAAACACTCTTCAACATGTCAGGCTCACCACTGGACTACATCCTGAGCCAGATGAATCCATTCCAGACTCACAAATTTCTTTTTTATGTCTGAATTATATCTCTTGAATCAGGCCAAAACCTGAACAACTGCTGGAAGAGTTGATTGAAGAAAATGTTTAATTCAAAATGTACAAGTTACAATCGGCTTTGCTCAAAATGCAAACTAAACTATTCAAAAGAATATTATTTTTAAATATTTCTGAAAGGAGATCGCAACAAACCACTACTACTGAACTTTTCTTGTGACCCCCTCCCCAATCTCATCATGAATAACCTCAGGATTCCAGAAAACACAGAATGCCATTCACTTACCTGGCCATGTTTTGAGCGACAATAAATTCTTTTTTAGCTCGACTGAACTTGGAAGACGTTAGACTCCTTGAAGAGACGGATCAAGGTCCTGAGGTGACACCAGGATTATTTGAGGGTGACTTAGCCCTCACTGATGAGGTAATGTGTTAAGGCGTACGAGTACGCAGATGAGGATAATGGCCTATATGTAATCACCACAACTCGTGAAGTTCTCGAATAATAACATGTGTAAATTATGCACTGAATGGCAATATATGCTATGTGATGTATTGTCCACAATTAGCATAATATCATTATCATAAATTAATAAATACACAAAGTGATGAATATAATTTTCACATTTAAAAACTTTAAAGCTCTTCTCTAGACATCAGCAAGGTGAGACACTATCAGGCCTTAACCAGAAACATGTGAAAGAAAATCAAAACCTACCATAAATAGGAAGTAATTTAATAATGCCATATCAACTGCAGTGGTTACTTAATATGAAAGAATAATCTTGTTTGATAAACTTGAAATGGGGAGAAAGTAGTCTTACATTAATCATTTACCTGGAAAGGATAGGGAAAACTATGAAAAATTTCTGTCAGGATCCTCAATGTTCTGGTTGAGATTCAAACTGGGTACTTCATGAATACAAGTGAGAAGCATTACCACTTGAGCCACCTTGCTCAGTAAGAATCTTCCAATTATACTTTATGGACAACCTGAGGAAGAGCTTCTTTTTTGTTATATATTAACTTTTACTGTATTCTTTCCTTCTTCAGTTATTCTCAAACACAAATTCATATTGCGTTGCATGTAAATCAATGAATCAAGATGAGATACCAGATTCTCGCAGCACTGAAGCTGTCAATTGTAGTCTTTGAGATGCTGTGTTGTGAGGGTGATTCTGATGATGGAGATGATACATTCCTCCAAAACATTTAAAACCACCCACAAGACTAAATAAATTGTTTCATAACCTAGAAGGCCACAATGTTTAACATATATCGAGAGTTCATAATTTTCTTTAGTGTAGTGATGTTTTCCCCAAATGCAGTTTAACATTGTTACATGTCCCCAGCTGTACAACTATTGGAGAGTTGGGATCCGGTGGGATGTAATGCCCCAAAGAATGTGGCCTAACGGCACAGTGCCCTATGTCATCAGTCCACTCTATGGTAAGTTGGAGAGGAAGGGATGCATTATAGAAAGTTAAAAAGCAATGGTAATAAAGTATCTCCTCGTTTCATGCCATTCTGAATAGGAGACGTTTACCTATATAGACTTCATTACATTGCATTTAAACATATATTAATTAAATTAACTAGTTTGATGAATCTACCAAATTCATTGACAATGTATGATAATTCCCTTATAAAAGAATCATAAACTTTATTGAAGTCTATAAGTAACTGAAGTAGTGACCAGCCGTATTCCCATTTTCCCACCTGTATCAGATATATGCAGAATATCTTATCTGTACTTGACCGATTACACCAACATCCACACTGATCCCAATAATTTCACCCATGTGTGGAGTTAATCTCAACAGAAGAATGTTGGATATTTTGTATGTGGTTGATAACAATGATATTCCAAGATAATTACAGCAGTCAGTCAAACACCCAATTTCCTTATTCCGAATATAATTAAGTAATTTGTGGTAGCATCTGAAGTTTTCACAGCTGTGAGTAAGAAGACAGGCATCTAAGAATTTTATTGATCTCAGAATTTAATGCAATACCTCCAGTATGGTTCAATTCTGTTGAAATCTGATCAGAACCTGATGATTTATACCTTTTAAACATTTGTTACACCTATAAAAATACTTTGGGAATCTGCAAACAGATCACCATTCTCAAAGTTCATTTTAGGTTAGAAACCCTTATTAAATTCAGTTATATCCCTGTACAAGTCTGTGATGTTCATTTTTTCTGTTTGTTTTAAGCTGATGAATTTTGTCTTTCAGATATTACTTTTCCATTAATTATTTTGTCAGCATTATCTCTATTCATTTGGCTTGGATTCTGCAGCTTGGCTGGCTTTGTTTTATCTAGTAATTTTGAACATTCTTTACTTTATGACCCTTTAACCCATAATGGCCTAGCCTCATTCTATGTGTTGCTCATTTATTTGCTGATTGTCTCTACCACAGTTCTGCAACAACCAAATTGGGGTCAGTACCATAGTCAAGCCCTCTAAAATCTCATACATCAATCAAAAAAACTTTCCTGCCATCATCAATATACGAGGCGCGTCCCAAAAGTATGTATAATTTCATCAGAATCCTGTCTCACAAGATAAACCCACAAAACCTTTTGACACTAGTGGCAGTTAATTTACCATGTGTTGTGATGTCACAGATATCCCTGACTATGTCACAATTTACAAGGCCATCACAATTCTGAACTCCATGACATGTGTCCGGTTTGTGCCTTGGAATGGGAAGGACAAGGACTATTTGATCATCTGGCCTGTGAAGCAACCAAAAGGGTATGTCATTACAAATAGTAGAACCATAGCAGTGATAAGGTATGAGTGTCAACCAGTAACATTTTAGACAATGAAAGAGTCAGATTCCAAACGGAAGCATCTCAAAAATGAGAAAAGATTTTTGTCCTCAGGTTTTGGGACTGCAGTTTAATGTATACATATCTCTGGCTTTCAGGAATAAGCAATATTGAATGTTGATGGTCCTCCAAAGTTATGGTAAACTGTAGTTAGACGGCAACTGTAATGTTTTAAAAAAAAAGAAAACTTTAAACAATCGATGTGGCTTACCCACAAAAGCACAAGTTATACAATGAGAAAATTTTTTAACATTAGACTCACACAACTAAACCAAATGTCTTAGTACAAAAATAGTATGAAGATAGACACTTATAGCAATGCAGTTTGAACAAAGCTTTTCATGAAATTAATGCATTACGGAATTATCGTGTCTGTCAATCCATACTGAAAACAAATTATCTAACTTTTATAAAGTTGATATTGGTGACCTCCACTGAAATCAGTAATTTTTTACATGTCAATAAAATATAAGCCTTAAATTACACAAAGTTGACATCAAACTTCACATTCTCAAAACACTTCATAGTACATAAAATATGCAAACAATTATATTATTATGGTCTATTGTTAAACACACAGCTTAGTATTCAATGGATTCAGGGCTTGATCCCAATCTGTTACTAGTACAATAACAATTTCTGGTAAAGAAATTTACCATCCCTTACAAAAACCAGAAGTACATTGCCTATGCTCCCAAGAGCTTGTCATGAACCTTAACTTGAGCTAGACAAATCCAGTCACCTTATTTTTTAGTATTAATTTTAATGCCACCTTCCCTACTTATCCCAAGGTCTCACACAAAGCCTCATCTCTTCATGCTTTCTATTATAATTTCATATGCACTTCTCATATTCCCATACATGCTACATGTCCTGTTCATCTCATCCTCCCTGATGTGATTATTGTAACAGTATTAGCTGAAAAGAACCAATTATGAAGATAATCATTATGCAGTTTCCAATACCCTAATGTGAACTTTTCTCTTAAGCCCAAATATTCTTATCCTTGGATTTTGTTTTCAAACACCCTCAATCTATGTTCTTCCTTTTTGAGAGTGAAACCAAGCTTCTGAGCTATACAAGATAACATTATACTTAAATATAATATTTGGGCATCAACGCTGATTGTACGAAAACCTGAATTGTGTAGCATCTATCCAATTTGCTGATCAAAGAGAAATGATATGAAAACATAAAAGGGTTTCATTTGTGCCATGTGGCAAAAGTTTAATATAAAGTGGCATTGTACAGATGCTGGTCATATCTGGGGCGATATGGAGGCCCTCAGATTGTGTCACTGCAGCCACCAGACACAAAAGGCCCCAACTGTCTTGGAGGGGAGGGCCGCTCCATTCATGAATTGATGCATGCACTAGGAATCTTCCATGAACACTCCAGAGCTGACAGAGATCAATATATCAATGTGAAGTTTGAAAACATTATACCAGGTGAGTAATCAGCAAAGTCAGACATTAAAAGAATAGAAATGAAGCTCTCATGGAATGAGTATACCCACTAATGATGATTATTTGATCACACTAAATTTTGATGATGACCAAGTAGATATACCATAGGGAGGCAATGACCTTGAATTTATGATGTGCAGATTACAAATAATCTGAGAGAGATGGGGACTGCAAGTAAACTTTAAAAAAAAAAAACTGGATATTTTGTGATTAACGGACAATACCAGCAAGAATTACAAATAATAAAATCATTGATTTTTATTTGGTAAAGAGTAAAAATTATGAAACTCCTCATTATGCAATTTTCATCTTCATGTAACATAAGTCTATTTCCCCCCCATAAATAAGGAAAGCAATAAAAATGTCTGTAATAAACTTTGATTCATATTTTAAATCTTGTCATCATATCATCACACTGTTCCAAGGCCTGCTTCTAAACCTTTGTGCTTGTGTTGGCAGAGTACCGCAGTAACTTCAACAAGCAGAGTCTGGAGAACACGACATACAACTTTGAGTACGACTATAATAGTATCATGCACTACGGACAGTATTTCTTCAGGTCAGTGCTCAACTGTGACTGTACAAATTAAAAATGTTTAGATTACTATTAGTTCTGTAATTTCCTTACTAATGATGGGTCACACTACATTCCATGTGCCACATACAAAATTTTGACAACTCTGTTAATAATCCTTCAGCAATATCTTGGCCTCTTAAATATGGACAGTGATTGTTTAAAGAGTAAAGATATTTTTGGTTCATCCATGTACATTATAGTTCAAGAATAAGATTTATTATGTGATATTCCTCAGTTTCATTTAGAAACTATAGTGGAAGTACTTCTGAAGCGGCTTGTAACCTGGGAGTCTTTCATCAACTTCAGTCGCTGCGAAAACTTCAGTTTGTACATTAAAAACCTAAATTCTGTTGGTGTCCTTATACTGTCTTAAAGTTAAACACACGTGGCCCAAGCACGTGCATGCACACACACCTAAGAAGAACTTTGTAATTGATACAAATCACCTGGTATTGTCAGGGTAGTGAAATCTGAAGGTTGGACATGCAACTCAGATGGCGAGGCAAAAAATATAGAATTCTTGTGGGGAAAACACTTGGTGACACATAGAAGACCAAGATGAAAATGGGAGGATAATATGAAGTGAATGTTTAGGAAAATGGCTGAATGTGAGAGGCAGATGGAGTTGGCCCAGGACCATGTCAAATAATGTGCTTTGATGTTAACCTTCAGGTTCTACTATCTCAGAGTTTGGATGTTTGTACTACTGATAAGTTCACATTGAATTACTATCATGTATTTCTGACATGGAATTCCTGTAAACAGTTTAAGCTTTCAATCTTAGCATTTTTGTTTCCAGCAAAACAAAAGGACAGCCTACAATCATTCCTAAGAAACAAAACGTCAAATTGGGACAAAGGAAAGCCCTGAGTAAAACAGACTGCCTAAAGATTAATGATCTTTATGGATGTTTGAATAAATCTGTTTACCAAAACAGAAAGTATCATATACTCTGTGACATCCTTGGATATTAACATATATATTGCAATAATGGTTTCATATATACTACAGAATATATGAGTACGATACCATCCTGCAAGCTGATTACAAACAAAAATGGTATTTTTTAACGGAGTAAAGAAAAAAACATTAACATTATTTACAAGAAACTAGACTATAAATCATAAAAGTAAATGTCGTTTAGATGTAAATAAAAATATAACATAAGATTTACCTATTAAAAATAAACAGAAATTAAAATATGTGGATTTAGTAACAAAGTAATAATTATAAAGATTTTAGTATATACCAATTATTTATGTTCAATTCAAGAATAATGAAATAGATGAGACATATAGCATGTATGGTGGCAATTATAAATGGGGGGGGGGGGGGAAAAAAAACAACCTGCAGGAAAAGGAACAATTAAATCATAGCCACAGATTGAAGGAAAATGCAAATATGCAGACAAAGCATGAAGGTGTGAACTGGATTGATCTGGCCCAGAACAGGTTTCAATGGAAGCCTTTCCTTAAAAACATAAGACTTTTTATACATTTTAATTTTAACAAACTCCCTTTCTGTAAGCCGGAGTGCATTATACTGATCTTCCCCTTCTTCCTAAGATGTTTCCACTTCATGTTGATCATCTGTCATTACACCAACATTTCACTTAATCAACACAAACAATATTCACATAAGAAACCAGCTTTTCACTTACATATACACTTCCTACACCCATTTCATCACATATCTTCACTTATTACAGAATTCATACCTAGCATATCATTATACAATTCTCACGATGATTCCATTCATAATTTTAAAAAACACATTATTTTGACATTTACAGTTATCTGGGTGTATGTTTTTAAGATACACTGCCATTGTTCAATGATCAACCAACAATTCAAAAGCATAACAAAAGATAAAGCATCATCAATCTTCAGGATCCAAAGTCATATGATAAAAGATATTAACAAACAATGCAACACAGCGTACTTCCTCACTTGAGGGCATTTGGGAAAATATGTAAAGAATTTCTATTCTTATGCCTACACAATAGTGCTGAGCATATCTGTCAATATTACAAAAATGGGTCTGAGGGTATGGAATGGATTCAACTGGCTCAGGACAAGCCCTAGTAAGGGGTTCTTGTGAACAAAGTAACAGGCCATCTGGTTCCAAAACTAACTCCAGAGCAAAATCCTTCTTGAAAAATTAACAGCTGTTCATTCAATAGAGAAATGTCCTGCCTACCTGAACATGAAGGTTCGTTGCTAAGTTCAAAAGGACCCCTTTTGGCTAAGGAATTAGCCAGCTGAGTGACTGTCAGCTTTTATGATAAACTATGATCCATGGAATTAATTAATAATTTATCATTAGATTTAAAAATATACATCTGCTACAAATACAGGAATTTTCTAATAATTGGTAATTAACAGCATACAGCAAGAAACCTATATATCCAAAAATAAAAAGCCATTACATATAAACATGTGGTAGTCATTTCACATGTAAACACAGAGTTTGCTTTACCATCTTTAAAGATGTCAAAATGAATGAGACTTTTCATCTGTGGTACACCATCCACTTAGCAATCACCACATGTCATATTTCTGACTATAACCCCAAACCCAATTACTGCAAGTAGCCTAACTGAGGATGGCTAAGGAATTACATAATAAACATATTTATTTACTTTTTTTTTGGGGGGGGGATGGGAATATTGGACAATACAATAATGTAATAATGCAGTTTCAGAATTTCAGTAGAGGCAACAGTTCAAAGTTTGTTATGAAAAATTTTAGGGAAAAGAAGCAAAGTAATCTTCAAACAAAACAAGATTTCAATTAAGGTACAATGTAACTACAGTTAATTGAGTGAAAGTTATGTAGCGCCTAAACATGTGAACAACTACAGAACTGTAAGATGGCTGTCTCCTGGGTTGTTGCTCCATGTAGTCTGGTAGAAGTTTACCGACGTTTTAGAGGTGCATGCTGCCTCCATTATCAGGGTGAGTGCCAAATGATGGAGTCAGCAAGCACCTCTGAAACAATGGAACAGTAAATGTCTACCAGATTACATGGTGCAACAACCCACAAGATAGCCATCTTCCTACTCACCACTGTAAGAACCTAAAATCTTAATTACAGAAATTGCACTTCTGACACTGCATATAATCAGTTTTCTTTTACAAGTAGCAAAATCAGCTGATATCTGCAAAAAAAAAGTTAAAAAGCTGCGCACTGTCCAATAGCACAAACATGTAACATACACTGGACCAAACAAACTTCAAACTTTGATGATAATTCCAGCAAATAATAGTATAACAACAATGATAATAATTTCTCTTACTAAATTAGTAAATCTAATTAATATACACCATGACTGTGTTATTTTATGTAAAAATATAACACCATTATTACCTGACTATAAGACGAGGGTTCTCTTCTGAAGGCTCAACATAGGATCATAACCAAAATAAAGTACTGTGTATCAGTGCATAACAATTTACGTTTTTCATGATAATGAAAATGTGCAGCAGTAAGGAACAAATACGGAAAAGCCACGCTACCTGTAAGTACTAACATATATTAACGTGCCAGAATCTGAAAGCCCTACATATGCAAAAAAGGTCACTGAATCATTGCAGAATTCTTTTGGATTCATGTAAATACTTCTGGAATGAAATGTGTAAGTCCCACCAGTGCTGACATAGCTTTCTGATCCTACCATTAGCGACCATTTGCATGCATAAATACAAAATGGTAGAAATATAAGATACGAAGTATTGATCTAGACCAGCGGTATTCAACCTTTTTTGTTCGCGTACCCCCAGATATACTTTCTCTTCAACTTTGTACCCCTGAAGTTGTTGGTGTATAATTCAAGTTATACACAGTATGTAATCTACATCTAAAATAGTATATATATTTTTTTAAATTTCACGTACCCCCTAAGACGTCTTCGCGTACCCCAGGTTGAATACCACTGATCTAATCAATATAGAATTTTATAAATAATTTAATTTTACCGTATTCATAACTGATCTAGGCTTTATAAGGGTTACAGACATGTAATAATACACTTTAATAACATGTATTTTATTTCAGAACTATCATAAACAAATGTTATAAAAACATTTGAATCAATATTAAACCTGGAAAAGGAAACATGTTTCCAATTATTTTTCATTATAAGAATGGAGGATTGATTGATAATTGATGAACACAGTACTTGCTAATCTGTTGAATACTCTGAGGTCATGCAATACCTGTGAGGAGTTATGACATGGTTTTGAGTTTCCATTATAATAACAAAATCTGAGACATGAAGGCAAGTAAATGGACAAGGAGAAGCAGAATATTTACCAGTACCAGTCTTCCATACAAACATGGCTGCTTCTGGGATGTTATACTGTATGGTCTGGCAGACATTGACTGATAAGGGCGATCACCCAGATGATGGAGGCAGTAAGTAAAATTTCAGGCTCTGTACTTCAATACAGGTTAGTTATATGCCAGACTACACAGCACAACATCCCAGAAGACAGCCATCCTCATTATTTTTTCACATTATACAGAACTTTTGTTATAAGGTGAAAATAAAGTTGATACTCATTTCCAAAATATGGTAAAATGTTCTTTTCATCTTCATATAATTAATGTATTCAAACAAAATTTCCTCAAAATCCAGGTAAGTACCCCCACAACAAAGTCATATAATTCTTTGTCACTAACAAGAATTATCAAGAAGAGATGTAATATACAACAGAGAAACAAGAAAACTCTATCATCAAGTAGAATTGTCAGGAAGAGATGGAAAACCTATTTTCTAATGAGAAGCTGTGTTGGGCATCCTCAGAAGAACTTGTTAATGCATGGCATTGCAACAGAATGTTTACGATAGCCTTAGGCTACAAGAGCAGGATCACAGATAGTTTTGTTGGTCTCCTTAGAAGAGAACAGCTATTGGCAAAACTCCCATTTAGTGAATGAATGCTTGTTGCTCACAGAGGAGATGATACCATCACCCTCCATCTGTGGTTTATATGATTTTGATTCATTTTCCCTTTAGCAAGATGGAAGCAATGCAAAAAATTTAAGTCTGACAAAAACGTGAGACACGACTCTGGAAAGCTCTATTGAGTGACCACCTACTCGATGAATTTCATATTGGCTAAACAATAACAAAACAAAATTTTGAATTCAAGCGTTGTGGACATGAAATATGAAGTTTGCACATGCACTGACATGAGCATTAAACAGAACAAAGAAGTCTCAATCAGGAAACAAAATACATGGTGCAGATTGCTCTGTTGCAGGGTCGTAACTTCTAAAAAATTATACACCTACATTTGCAACACCAAAACCAATGTCATTCACCCAAGTCAGTGAAAGTGTGAAGAGTGGAATGAGCACAGATGATGAGATGCCAGGCACAGAAGGCACAACAATGACAAATGTGTAGAAATGTCACACAATGTAGACAACAGAAACTCCAGAACTTCCATATAAGTATTCTACTTCTCCTTTTCCAGTTTCATTCACTTAGCTTTCGAACACCCTATTATCTTATGAACTGACATATAGAGTGTGCACGTACCTCAGGATCCTTCATTGCAGTTGCCTTGCATAACCTAAACAGTACTGAGAATTCATGTCTCTACTCTCCAGGACTGAGGCAATATGAGCTCATGCGTATTTCAGCTGACGTCATGACGTACTTCCTCAAGTGGCGAGTCCTGCATATCCACTTCAAACCTAAGTGCGCTACTGGACGAGGGTGTTTCAGTGCAACCAGGAGGAGTTACAGTGTCCAAACTAATCGCAGAGACATCTGTCTTACTCACCTGAGGCATCGGTGTTGGGTAACTGTATGATGCCATTTGTTGTGGAGTATCTGAATAAAATAAGAAAAACTGTATACTATATATACATATACACCATTAGAAAGATTAAAAAAATATCATCAGGGACTGGAACTGAACTGAAAAGAACACACCAGCTTATGTTCTAAGTTGATGAGATTAATTTATTGGGCAAAATCATAAACACCATAAGGAAGAAAATATATACACTGTATTAGATGATAGTACATACGTTGGTCAGAAGTAATCAAAGTATAATCAAAAAATGGTATATATTCATGTCTCATCAACAGAAAACAGAATAAAATCATTATCACAAAAACAATAAATACCTAAAAAAAGTATCTGAGACTGACAGCAAACAAATCAAAATTACAGTAAATTCTCAAAGAAGTGAAGTGCAAATTATATTTGACAAATGTCTGATATAATTCTACTCAGAATCCTTCATTTTCCCTTCCCCTACCTAAGAACCTACAGTGAGTAACTCCATGAACAGTCATTACCAAGAAGCTTGTAAGTCACTCAGCTAGTAACAACCCACCCCCCACAAAACACAGAAGACGGAAACAGAACCAGTTTCCGAGATGCCGCCGTTTCTTCTTTTAAACAAGGACAATGGAGAAAGTCCAGACAAAGAATAATTTTAAGTGTAATCCACCACTGTCAGAACCATTTACAATTGAACATAACCCAGATATTCAAAACCATATTCACAAAAACATACCAACTGTATCAACCCTGAGCCATGATTTTTATCAGCCTGTATAATGATTTATGCATAACACACAGTCATAAAAATTATTCTATGAGACCAAAAATCCTTTAACTGTGTTACCATGGCAAGGGTTATAATAATATTTGCATAAAAGACACACATACATAGTCATAAGAATTATGCCATTCCTCTTCTTCTTATGATGTATCCACTTTTTTTGTCAGCATACAAAATCTCCTCCAGAGGCTCTGTAATGTGTTGAAAGCAGTTACCCGTTCAATCCACTGCCAGTTTGCTAGACCTGTCACCACAGCCCCATCTTCCTTTGTTTCCGTGTTCCTCCCGGGCCTTCATAAGCTACCTTGCAGGTTCTGGGGACTAAGTCCCTGCTAGACATCACCCCAGTAGGCACTTACCTACTTGACATTGTCCCTCTCCCGCAACAGTAACATTGGGGTTGGCCTTTGGGAGGGTGTGCTATTATAAGATAAGTTTAATAGTGGACCCCATAGAATAACTGCCCTTTCATTTATAAACAACACTGAATTGCCAGCAAAATCATAACAAATTCATTTTGTAAGAATTAAGCAATACTCACATATTCAGATTGCATTAAACTGAATTAATTAAAAAGCAAATAAATTCTTTGTCTATATCTGTAACAGGTTAGTTTTATGTTTCAAGACATAAACATTTATGTTTACATTTCCATGCATAAGTGCCAACCTTCAGCAACAACTGGCAGATTAAAATCACATTTAAAATGCAAAATCCCATAACAGTATCTCATATCATTACATGTGTACTATCACAGAAGAAACAATTATTTTTGGGAAATATTTTACTTTACCGCTTATGATTAGTTTCAAAGTAAGCAAAATTATGCCAACAACACCTTCATATGGGAATGCCTCCTCTGCCAGTTGTTCGATCACATAACTCAGCATCGTTGTACTGAATGTATCATCTCGCCGTATGCCCAAAGCCTTGTGGAATGCATCGACAGCTTCGTCAGCATTGCCAACTATTGCTTGTACGAAGCCTATAGCAGAATATGTCGAGGGATTCAAAGGTGAGAGAACTAGAGCCTGCAACAAATATACAGTTTATTACACTAATTGCTATGTTTTAATGATGCTGCATAATTTGTTTAAAGTACAGTAGATTCCTGATTATCTGGGTTCGTTGGAAATATACTTTCCTGAATAATCTGCAAAAATTAAAAAAAACATGCAAATGTAACAAATACATAAGTTTATTCACAGACAGATCACTACTTAAATTCTTAAAGATTTGCTAATAACAGAAATAATTTTGTTTCAAATTTAATACAGTACACACCAAATTTTTTTTAAAAAAGAATTCCAATGAATATTAATAACATTTCCCCACTTATTGGTACCTACACCTTATCGTGGTGGTGGGGCCTGAGTACCTCAGTGACCCAAGAGCTATGCTGGCGGTAGCATAGCTACTGGTAGGGCCTCCCTAGCCAGATTGGTCGAGGGGGAGAGGTCACACTAAGACAGATACCCTGGTCCTCCAGGTTGGGGGTTGGTCGCAAGGCTAACAACCTTGCACCGTAAAAAGGAAGATGTTTCGAAACCTCGATCGAAGCCTCGGACAGACGGACCTAACAGAGGACCGAATGGAAGAGGAGAATTGAGGAGGCCATGGACCGGAGAGCCATAGAAGAAGAAGTAATAAGAATATAATGTTGGAAACTTAAGGTTTTAGCAAAAATGATTTATGTTAACATGTTATAAAATGAGAGACAACGTTTAAAATATAGTCAGGTGAACTTTAGACTACTTAGTGAAAACAATAGGACCCAAGGTCACTGGAACACAGTTATTCAACAGGAGCAAAAACCATCGCTGGAACACAGTAGAAGCAATGGGGCATGGGATACTGTCGGACCACAGTTGCAATGATGAGAACTGAAGTCAATGTGGAATCTAATTACCAAAACAATGGGAATGGAGTCTTAAAACTTAGCATACCATGTAGTGTATTAGAATATAAATAGGCAAACAAACAACTATTAACACTATAAAAAAGACACTATTGCCATACGCATTTCAACCTCAAGAGGTCATCACCAGTGGCATCAGGGAAATCAATTCATTTAATTAAATGGCTCAAACTTGATTTAGAAAATAAATAATGAATAGGACATTTGACGAAAAGGAGGGTCGCTTAAAATACTTTTCGTCAAATGTCCTATTCATTTAAGTGCTACTCAATGACTATCAGCTACGATTTCTACTGTCATCTTTGCACAGCAGAAACTTACCTGGCGATGATACACAAGAGCATCGGCATATTTCTGCAGCTTGCGACATGTGTGGGCTAGATTGCTGAGGAGAGGTTCCCACTTATCAGGTAGGACTGGCTCTTTGATAGCCTGCAGACGAGACAATGCCTCTAAAAAGTGGCGCTCTGCAGCTTCATAACTGTAACATTATGCCAATTTACCTTGGTGAGATTTCATGATATCATGGCAGCGAGTAAGAAGATGACTGTCTTCTGGGATGTTGTGTCATGTAGTCTCGTAAGTGTGTAACAAAATTACAGAGGTGCTGGACAGGACAGATTGGAATTTATATGCAGGATATCCCAGGTACAAAGGAGTGCTATACACCAGTGGACCCAACCTCTTTGTGCCTACGGGCACATCGGGCACCAACCAATTAACAAAGCCAAATTTTCTTTTCTCTGAACAAATAAGTTATGGACACCAAATAATACAACGCAGGCATCCTAAAAAGGCCTTGGCGGGCACCGCGTTGGAGGAACCCAAAAAAGCCTTGGCGGGCACCGCGTTGGGGACCACTGCTGTACACTATACTACACTATGACACAACTTGACAAATTACTTTCAATGCAAAATTATAAATGCTCAAAACAATAATTTGAACATCAATTCACAAAATGATAAACTGCTAACTCACTCATGATTTTGGAAGCAGATGACTCCCATCTCATGCATAACAAACGGATCCTGAGGAGCTATGCCCTGCGACTGCAGGAAGAACTTGTCTGCAAGTTTCACGTTATTGGTCAACCCACATTCCAATCCAATGTATAACAGTGGCAAGTGGCAGCTGGAAGATGAAACAACTTTTATAACAATGCATACAGAGCGACAGATGCCAGAATGTGCACTAAGGATTCTAACACTGCAATTTTCTCCATTCTCCCATTCTTTCCCCGCTCTCTAAACCAAAACACACTCCTTAGCACCATGTCATTCAAACACTGTCAATCTACACCCTTCCGTCAGGGCAGAGACAAACTTGAACCACATAATCTGGCAGAAATTTGAAATGTAAAACTTCTATTAATACTTCATTAGGCTGAAAGGGACCTGGAATTCTAAGAACCATTTACACCTAATCAGCAATATAAATGCACAGTATAATTTATATTACCCTTTCATAAGTTGTGAAGCTTTGAAGTACGCTGCCATGGCCTGATCATGTTCGTTTTCTGCAGCAAATGAATGTCCATAAGCAAGCCATGCTGGAGAGAAGAGCTTGTCTAGTGTTGTTGCCTTGCCCAGGTACCTGCGTGCTG